CGTTTTCAAGACGTTTATGTTTCCTTTTTAAAAAAAAAATTGTTTCTGCGTCTTCTAAAATTTCGTTTATGCGTATTGCGTATCTATTTCCGATTTTGGTGCAGTTTAGCACTATGCACATTTGCTACACCACCTCATTTATGACATTTAAACTCTGAACTTAAAAAAATCCAGACATATTGTATTAGCGGTGTTTTTGCGTCATCATCGGTGACAGTTTCAAATTTTTATTATCAGAGTCATAACTAAACTAAACATAAATATAAGTGACATTTTTGTTGAAGCAAGTCGATAGGATTTTGGAAAACGAAATTTAAACAGAAGTGGAAATTAGTAGAAAAGTAAAAACTGATGACTGATCCACAAGAAAAATAAAAGGAACAGTAGTTAGTAGACGAATGGACATGGGAAAGAAGTACCGACCAGATAAGTGGAAATCACGTGGAAGCTTCTTTTGTTTACAAAAGTCGACTTATGATCTGCCCTTATCTTTTGTCGTTTTGTTGCTTGGCTTTTTAATCAGACCACATCACCACAAAGATGCTCTTTTTCTCACCTTTGGATCTCTTCAAGTCTGAACAACTGTCTCCATTTTTCTATTTTCCCACTCAAGTACAAAGTGAAAATAGGAAAATATATAGAAACTGGAAAGCCAACTTTTTTTATTTTAAAGAAAACTTGTAGACTATTGTTTTTACTACTCGATTTTATACTAAAAAGTTTAGATACGTTTCTGTTGCTGAAAAAACATTTCTTTTAAGCTAACTCAAACATGAATTTGAGTAATCATTGCTAATTTTTGGTTATATAAAACAAGACACTTTATTAAGGGTTTTTCTATAATCTGATTTAGTGTTTAGATATGAACTTTGGACTTGTAATTTTGACAACTTATAATTTAATGAGTCCCTTAACTCATTACCGGTATATCTCGTGTGGTACTCTTCCCACAAACTTCACTATCGATCAAAGGTTTACACGGTGTTCTAAAAGCATTTCTTTGTGTTTCACATGATAGAGTAAAAGGAGAAAAAAGACTTGAATCTCAACACATGACAAAGAATACTTGAACTTCTCTCGGGTTGTACTCTCTCTTTTATGTGTTCTGGTCTCTTGTATCGCAGGTTAGGTCTTCAATTTCGCAACCGAGTATTATAAATACAATCTCTACCTTATTTGTTTATGGGCTAATTAAGTTACCACTATAAGACTAGCTTGGTTTCGAATGTGGCTCAAAAAGCCCAACAACAATGCTTGGCTGACTAAAGAGTGGCCAATAACTTAGCAACTGTGCATTTCGACTCTACAGCTACTCATTTCCGATCCGAATTATCAATATTTTTTCGGTTAAATAATTTAAATTTGCCGTTTGGATCATGATTATTCATTTTACCAGGTAAGGATAATTATTCAGATGCATGAATTACCCATTTGGTTATTTACCTTGTAGCAGAACTAATACGTTAAGAGCTATGCGTATATATATGCTATAAATTGGTTTATATACATGTGGAAGAGTTTATTTGTGTTGTAGTAAGAAAGATTTATACTTGTCATAGTTTCATCTACACATGGTGATATGTCTTGGGTTTACATATGTTCTAACTGAATTTATATACGTTATAAAGTTGAGTATATTCCTGTATTATAACTGAAACTTTACATCGGTACATGTTATATTTTGCTTTATACATGTCAATATAACTGAATTCATACATGATAAAGTTATGTTTATAATTGCTAGAAGTGAATGATTATATCTTGTAGTTTGACTACTTATACGGTGTGTGTAGATGGATTTAGCATTATTTATATGAACTAATATCTTGTTTGAAACATATAACGTTCAGTAATTACCAAATATTGATCCTAAAACTCCATATAACGTTCAGTAATTATCAAAGATTGATCCTAAAATTATGGACCAAAACTCCACAACTTCGGAACCATACAACAACAAATACGCTTATCCTAACATTTTCAACACTATCATATTCTTCGAAAGAATTCAAAAAACTATAAGGCGAGACATAAATCTACATATAAAATTATAAACCAACAAAAACCATTTATGGAACCAGTAACATTACAACAATATTCACGGTCCATCCGATTCAACACTTTAAAATTATGCAAGACTGTGAAAGAAAAGCCTCTACTAGATCAAGAGTCTCTCTCTCTCTCACACACTTACTCACTTACACAAACAAACACATTCTAGTTAACGGTGACTTTACCGACCATACCAGCACCCTGATGCGGCGCACAGTAGAAACTGTAAGTCCCTGGCTCAGTCAAAGCAACCTCGTACGTCTCTCCCGCAGCGTTGAGTAGAGCTTGCTCGTCCATCGAGATCTTGCTTGCATCAACACCACTTGGGATCTCGTCTTCATCGAACACAACATTGTGTGGGAATCCAGCATTGTTCTTGAACACGATCTTCTCTCCTTTAGCAACAGTGAATTCGTTGGGGACAAAAGCCAAAGCACCATCTCCTGATCCCAACAGAACATCTATTGCCATGGCGTTTCCGACCAAAGCAAATGATGCTGCAGCCGCTACTGCCGCCACTCCGAAGTCTTTTAGAGATGACTTCACGGTAAGCTTCGGTGTAACCGCCGCGGTGTGGATTCTGACTGCGGCGGAGGGTTTGGTGGTCGCCGATTTGAGACCGGTGAAAGATGGGATTGCGACGGTGGCTGAGGTTATTGAAGCCATGTTTGAGAGAAAGA